ACTTCAGACAGCAGTACGCTGTAGTTGACAAACATTCATTTTGGTTAAATGCGGGACAAGGGGGGTGATGCTGCTGCTGTAGTCGAATTGTAGTGTGTGGGCGTGGAGTTCAGTTGTGAGCACGCAAACGTGCTGCAGGAATTGATTGTAGGTGTACCTCCTCGGGCTTGCGTACCCTTTTCTTGCTGATAGTGTGTGTGTTCTTTAGATCTTCTGATGGCTCTAGCATTTTTGTGACCACGGACCGAGTCTTTGCTAGATTTTGGGATTAGCAACTGACACGAGTTTAATGTGAAGAAAAACAACAACAATCGTGCCATTCTTCGCGAGGTCAAGCACGTGAAGAAGATGGAGACAAAAAGTGTCCCCAAAAGGCGATCTAGCCGTAAAGGGGTTAATATGGAAACTACAGTCTATGATACTGGTTGCTGGTCCGAACCGGTGCGCTGCACGTTTTTTTATCACGGCTCAAGCTAGGATATTATCGCTATCCCTAACCCCAACCCAACCGACCCGACCCAAACCTATTGGCATTGTTTGGAAAGTCCTATTTAGGTCACTGTAACAAGCAAGCCTATGCCGCGACAAGACGCGGCGCTAGGTTGCTGCACCGTCTGCGTTCTAGGTTTACAGCAGTGCACACGGCGCGCATTTTTTTTTTCTGGGCCTCGTCATGTTACTTTTACCTCTCTCTTCGTCCATCTCTTGGTGACGCACGAGCGCTACTCAACACCTTTACCTTTCTTTTTCGTCGCCTTGCACTAATAATGATAAATGTATACTACCGACGTCAATGACGGTAATTATGCAGCTTCTGCGTCGCCAAGAAGCAGAGGGGATGCCACTACCAGCTGCGCGTGCCGACATACCCCGGCGTGTCGACAAGCAAGAATTCGGCACGCGCTCATCATGAACCCCTCCCTACGACCGGTGTAAGCTTTTGGTGCACCGACGAAGAGGGGGGCAGCACGCCCTCCGCCAACTGTACGGAGGCGGCGGGCCCTCTCCCCCCAATCAAGAGGTACGTACGCTGTGGAGACAGAGGAGGGTCGGTCCACCGTAGCACCGTAGCACTCCCATGTTGTTTTTGGCTGTTGTTGTTGTCGTTGTCGTCGTCTTGACATTAAAAACCGTTCCGGTCTCAGCAGTATTGGATTGTCTGCTGGTAATTTTGTTTCCGTTTTCCCTCCTCGCTCTCTGTCGCTCAGTTACGAGGAAAGCGATTTCATGAGTCGAGCCGTTTTTCGAGACGACTTAATCCTCGGCTGATATGCAGACGTCGTTGTATTTCGTACAGTGGGTGCAGACTGGTGCCAGAATAGAAAGGAAGGACGAAAGCATGAGGAGAAAGAAATTACTCCAATTAAGAACGTGAGCATCTCTGGTTCCAGGTCGAAGCTTTCCGTACGTTGAATGTTCAACTTGATCGATCGTTGGGATTCCGCACCCGCCCAACCGAGCGTCTCTTCAGCCCAAGCCGTCCCTCTAGTCTGTTCGATCCGTTTGCGGGCCAACTCATCAATCCCCCCGATGAACCCGGAGTTCACCTGGCAAAGGGCAGTTTGCAATGAATATTCGATCCTCGACTACATTCTGGTAGATAGGGGGAGCACACAGATCCCAGAGCTGCACGTAAGTGCGATATATTTAGGTTCGACCGACCACTTCCCCACATGGGTAAACATCGATCGATCTAGAAAGATGGAGAGTGAGATACAGAGGGAAGTGTTCCGGTGGAAAGTAGAGCGTTTGAGAGACGAGTGGACACGGGATGAATTCCAGAAGGGACTGGCTGGTAGTGTAGAATCCTTCAGGAAACTGCTGAGAAGAGTCGAAGACGGACAGGTAGACGTACAAGCAGCAGGGGACAGGTGATTGAAGGTTCGGAGTCCAAAGTGAACACAACGCCAGGCAGCCAGAGTTGTGGGAAAGAAGGTGGTACGATGTGGGGTATCGATAAAGTGGTGGGATGACGAGCTGAAAGAAGAAATAGGGGAACGTAGAGAAGTCTTCAAGCAGTACCTGAGTGAGGAGTCTGAGGAGAGTCGGGCAAAAACAGGGCTAAGAGACAGCAGGTGAAGGGACTGTAGTGAACAAGCAGACAAAGTGTATTTGGGAGGAAGTAGTGCAGAAGGCCAACAGAGGCCTGGAGGGGAACGTCAAGCAGGTGTGGGAAGGGATTGGTGGGATGGTAAAAAAGACCGCGCAGGGGGGGGAGCCAGGGGTAGCATCTTTGCGAGGTGTGAACGGTGGACTAGTCAGCAGTGGGGGGGGGGG